AATTCATGGTTGCTCCTGCAGAAAGCTGACACATCTGCACTTGTTCTAAATTTATGTTTTTTTGGTACAATGCACATATGGTTCACTTTAGAAACAACATTTTGCAAGCACATGTTGTAACATCTTGGCATCGGTTAAAAGAAAACATGTGGGTACCTTATTTCAAAATCTAAATATGTTACTTTTCATGCACCATGTGTACTTTTTAATTGCTGGCATATATATCCCTTATTAAGTTCTTGTTTGGGTAGTTTCTGATTCATCATTGTTAGAATTAAATATCATGATCTTTTGGAAAGGTTTCCCAAGCTTATCAGTGCAATATGATGGTACTTTCTTCTATGTGCAGTCTTGTGATGGGGCTGGCATTCCAATGGGTGATATTCTGGGTGATTTTCTCTGTGAAAGCTTTGGTCTTGAGTCATATGAGCGCGTGGAGCATGGTTTCTCTGTACCAAAGAAACAGGGTGCAATGAGTATGTTCAATGACACGACTAAGGGCCGGTTTATTTTCTTGATTGATAGTCGTGCATGTGTCCCAAGCATTAAACTGTCATCAGTTGATGTCATCATCATATATTCTAGTGATTGGAATCCCACAAATGACTTGAGAGCCCTCCAGAAGATCAGCATAGAGTCACAATCTGAATGTGTGCCCATTTTTCGTTTGTATTCGTCTTGTACAGTGGAGGAAAAGGCTCTTATACTTGCAAAGCATGATCATACTCTTGATACCAGTGTCCAGAATATAATGCCTATCCTGAGCCATTGTATGCTTAGTTGGGGTGCATCATTTCTCTTCAGTAGACTTGAAAGGCTAGAAAACGATGCATATTCATGGATAAAGTACTTTCAGAGTTCTCAACGAAGTTATCCACTGAAGATGATACCAGCACTAAGACGAGCAATGCAGCCGTATCACAAGCTCATCTGAGTGGACCTCTTTATTCTAGAGATAGTGTTGTAGTAGGTGAGAGGGAGGGGATCTCTGCACCTGATAGTGATCTCCCAAAGTTCTGGGTAAATTTGCTAGATCGGAAGTCTCCTCGTTGGCAGTATATAACTAAGCTGGCACAAAGCAACTGTAGAAAGAGACAAAGCATGGAAGAATGGAAAATTCATGCAGACGAGGCTGCTGAAGCTAGTACGAAACGTAGAAAAATTGCTGGAATCTTGGATTCATCTGCAAATGTTTTAGCTGGCGAAGACAATGTCTCAGTATTGCCTGAAATTAGTACGACATCTAGTTCTCATCAAATATCAGTTGACAACACATGGCAGGAACAAGGTATACCACTGTAACTATAATTAACAGCTCTGTTTTTGGTGCGAATAATGCACTGTTCTAACAGAATCCATTTTGTAGGGGTGGAAAATCTTCAGGACACACAAAATAGTGTTCACATCCCATTGAAGCAAGAGTTCTCAAAGCTATATGAATTGTTTGAACTACCGGTATGCTGAATGTAACGACTTCATTGTTCTCTTGATGTTTGTGTTGAAATATACTGCCTGCCCTTTTTAATCAGTTTGGACTTTTGGGAGTCCCCATCATGTCGAGGTTCCGCCAGGCCTTAAATGTCAGATTGATGTAGGCTGTAAATACTCTATTAAATAATAAATACTGCGTTGACCGGGAGTTGAGCTTGAGACCTCTTGGCTCATATACCATAGTACGTTTCAAAATACTTCGCATCTTACTTTTGTCTTAAGTCAAACACTAATATTTCCATGCAAGAAAAAAACATTGTCATATTGGACCACATTTATATAAAAAATATCAATATCTACTATACTAAATAAATACAATACAAAAATATATTCAATGATGGATCTAGTGATATTGATTTGTTATTGTGAATCTTGGTAAATTTTTTGAATATTTTTTTCTTTTAACTCGGTCAAACTTCACAAGATTTGATTTGAGACAAAACTAATATGTGAAGTTGGGCTTGATGGGGACAGACGCGGCCATTCCCTGGCCGTGCAAAATTGGGCGGGAGTGCCTTCATCCCATTTTGGCCAGGCACCATCGTTGAGGCCAGGGGTGGCTTGGCCAGCGGGGGGATGGTCCCAGATGGCATGCTCCTTCTCTGCGTCCATCTCCTATACTGCCGCTGGCGCCACCTTGAAGTTGGCCCAGAAGGTGCACTCCCTCTCTGCCGCGGCCTCCTCGACGCCTATGGCGGAGGTGGCGGCCTAGCGGGCATCCCAAACTGCCCTAGCAGCGAGGGAGCGGCGGGAAACCAGCGGTGGAGTCGATCTCGGACGCAACCGTGCAGCGCTTCGCGGCAGCGGGCGGCCTGTGACACCGTCCAGCCCGTCCTGGCGATCACATTCCTCCGCGATGAGGGTGGTCTCCTGCACGTCCTCCTCGTCCAGCTGTTGTGTCTTCTCCGTGAGTGGCAGCCAGTCCGGCCTTGGGTGAAGCGGCATGGTGAGGACAAGGAGGGAAGTGGAGAAGAAAGTGGAGCTGTTGGCGGCTGGGAGATGAGCTGGGACGTGTGCTGGCCTTTCTATATCCACGAGTGGCGGGAAACGGGGTGGGCGGGTGGCGGGAAAATGTGGCAGAAATGGGCGCGGGCTGTTGGACAGGAGGTGACAACCGTTAATTGGCTCGTTTCCTGGTGAGATAAGTGCCTGCGGGACTGGTACGCGCATCCGACACGCGCCATTGGCAGAGAGAGAGAGAGAGAGAGAGAGAGAGAGAGAGAGGGAGGGAGGGAGGAAGGGGGAGAGAGGCCATGCGCAAGGGGAAAGAGGTGAAATTTCCCTCCCGGTTCAACCTCCAAATAAGGAGGCTATGGCCCACTATTTGGAGCATGTTCCAAAAATCTTGGAGGCCAAGGGTGATATGGCAACTTTAATAGATCCCTTTTTTTGGTCCCGAATGCACAGGCTGTTATTATGGCGGTTGGGCTGTTTTGCCAATTCTGCTAGAGTTGCTCTTAGTGTTTAATATATTCCTTTGGTCAGAAGTAGAAACCTATTGGCAGTATTGAAAGTTCCGTAAGGAAGATATTAAGAACCAAATACATGCCGAAGAGAACTAAAATGTTTGGTTGTTTGTAATTGATCGACAATCATAAATTGTGCCTAAACTGAAGAGTGCAGCAATTCTGAACAGCAATACATTATGTGTGACAAATAAATACACAGACAATTTATCAAATAGTAATTCACCCTACCATTTTAGTGAGGCTGAAATTTCTGAAGACACATGATTTCATATACTCATCATTTTGCTATTTTAGCTGATTGGATTCTTTGATGGAACGGTAACATGTTGTGCAGGGGAGTGTTAAATGTGTATGTGAGGAACTTCTTGAGTATGCTTTGAAGAATAAGAATCACCAAGTCAGTCAGGAGCCAAAGCATGCATTCAACATTGCACTGGTTAGAGAAGAGTCTTCTTTAATTTTTGCACTACATGTTCAATGTTAAATGTTGCTGTTCTTCATGAATGTTTTCCTTCTTTGCATGCTTTACTTCAGTGCTGGCATGCTGCTTCTCTCTCAAGGCACAAGGTTAATCATAAAGAATCACTGGCTCTTGCTGCAAAATACTTGAACTATGAGTGCAGTGAAACTTGTGTCGAGTTGGTTTATAAGAAGCTAAGGAACCTAAAGAAGGAGTTCGCATATGGAGTAGGCGGAACAGGCAAGAATAATCAATCAATTTCAGTAAAGAACATATCACCATACCAGCAGGAGACCTCAACTAGACATGGAAATGGCAAATCAACCCCTAAGCAGACAGCATCTGTTGGTGGGAACAAATCACATCAAGAGGATTCACATGATTTAGTGATTGAGGCTATTGTACCAGGAGAGAAGGAACTGCTATCTGTATCAAAGGATGTACTTCTTAATAGGATCACAGAGAAAAGAATTAATTTAGTTGACATGGTTTTCTCCTTGAGAGAGAAGAATATCCTTGATAAACAAGCAAACGAGGTCGCAATGTTTGACATGCACAGGCACAATGGAGTGGTGAAACTGAGAAAAGCATGCAGAATAGTTGTGGAACACCTTCGTAGGTCTCAAGCTGATTCAGAGGACAGAGGTGGTCAAACAAAGCTAATAGTTGAATGGCTCACTATGCTAACAAACCTAATAGTTGAATGGTTCACTATGCTACTATATGCGTTTCTGAAGCACATGAGGCACCAGCGTGAGAACCTTGATTTACAGCAATCGAAGGTGTGGACTAAGGAGTTGCAGTTGAAGGAAAAGTTCCTTCACGAAGCAAAATATGGCCAATTAGATCATACTTTTGATCAGAGTATTTATTTACCAGAATCAGGCTTTGCTATTGAGGAATTCAGCCACTTTAGCTCCTGTGTTGATACAACTACTTTGGCAAACTGTCCGCAGTCTTTGCACGAAACTTCAGTGATGGAAGTTACATTGGTTGGTAGTGTGATTCCATCTGATGTTATCATTGCAGAAGCAGCGAGAAAAGGTTCTGCTGAAGTTCTTATCCACAACGAAGGCACACTAGCATCAGAAGGTATTGGTTTGACAGAGAACATGATCGGCAATAGTTTTGATTGCATTGACATGCAAGGAGGGGCATCTCTGGCTGTTCAAGACCAATTAAATTCTAGTCCTGCAATTGATAATTCCATTAATCAGGTAGGGCATGGATTAATCAGGTCTTATACTTACTAGTTCTTTGGAGTGGTATTCATTCTGATTTTATAAGCTTATCCATGTCGGAACTGTCAGCTTAACTTTTTTTTTACAGAAACTTCCAACATATTTTGCAGTCAATTTAGAAGTATAACACATTGAAGCTTTGGTTCAAGTTTCATGTCATGTTTTATGGACTGTAAAAATTTCATATAAGTTTTCCTTTGTGATATAGCGAAAAGGAAAGGAGATGTTTAGTAGGCTCATGTAGGATGTGTCGTTTTTGCTCTTTCCATGTAGCAAGTGAACATAGTTACTTGCTCATCATGGCAGTACAGTACACTAGGCATAGAAAACTGTTTGTAGTATGTTGCCTTTCATACTCTCATGTTTTACGGTTTGCAGATTACTAATTGAAGTTCTTTTTAATACAGCAAAAGGAAAAGAAATATTTAGTAGGCTCATCTATGAGCGTCAGTGACACTGTGTACCCATTTACTTATAAACGCACTTCCAAATAGAGGACATCACAGTTGATGCAGCACTTGTCTTTCCATTTGAGTCAGTTCTGAGCAATGGTCTTCATGTTCCAATTCATGGTGCTTCATTACATTATGGTTGCACTAGTATTCCTTGTGACCTTTTTTTTATTAGTATCCATTATGATACTAATCATATGTACCTGTAACATATATCAGGAATCTTCAAGTGGTGACCATAGGACTGAACATATTGAGCGACAGAGTGGTGGGTGTTTGCAACCATTACCGGGAGAGACTGACCAACATTTAGGAGATGCTGAAATGGAAGTTAACACCGACAATGGGGGCAATACTCATGCAGATCCACCTTACTTAGAACCACAGACTTTGGCTCCTGTGCCCAGCCAGACTTCCTTGCAAATGTCTAAGGAAGTTGAAGCCGAGGCCAATCTTGTAATACAGTCAGCCCAACCAATTGTAGCACCAGCGCAACTTCTGCAAAGAGAGGCAGAACAAGTAGGCCGTTCTGGTATAACACCAGCTCAGACTTTGCGACCTGAAATGCAACCATCAGCATCCAGGGAAGCTTATACTCAGACAGATCTGATAATTCAGTCTGCACAACCAAGTATGGTGCCAACTGAGCTTTCACAAAGAGATGCCGAACAAGCAAACCTTTCTCGTGTACCATCATCTCAGTGTTTGCCATCTGCAATGCATCCATCGGTTCCACCATCCAGTATTCTGCTTGAAAGAACACACCCTGATCAGTGTCAACCACCAAGTCATCAACCCGAGGCTGCACCGGGTTCTTCAGC